CCTTTGTTTTGACAAGTTGTGAAATCACACTGCTTTAGTGTGACTTCAAGTTGCACTCTCAGCTTTGGAGTAAGATTAGAGAGCTATTTGCAGGTGTAAGAGATGAACATGCCATCTCTCCACCAAGCTGGCAGTAGAAGGCTAAGACTTGGTCACTAGCTGGACTGACACCTATTGCAGCACCAATTGTATCATGGCTGATGGTGGCTTATAGTGCTAGAATAAACCAGTAGGATTTTTTGGGTCACACTGAGCTATGACAAGCTAAATGCATACTTTTGTGGTTAGGCCACATCTTGAGATAGGGCCACCCATCTAGAGTGGCCAGGAGTCCACTCCAAGGGACTAAAGTATTTGCTTGTCCATAAGATGAGCTTTAGCTTTAAGGGTCTTTAGTTGAGTTTCGGTAATAGCTCTCATAACAGCAGAAGCATGTACTGCTAGCACATATTTCTAAAGGCATCTGACTAACAATACAGTATTATCTCTGTCACAGTCTCAAGTGAACTCTGCTGGATAAGAATAACATTAGCTACTCTAGTTAGTAAGTAGATACTATTATAGCCCTAAAACACTTGTACACTGATGATAGCTAAAGAGATGTCTCAGTGAAACCAGGACTAACAAAGTAAAAAAAACCAAAACAGATCTATTACTAGGACAAAGTTTGCTCTCAAAGCAAGAACCAAGATAACTAAGCTAGATTCTACTTACTGTGGGACTGCTCACATCAGGAGGCGTTGACACATCCCCAAACAAGTCCATCTGGTCAACTCCCTTGAAGCCAGAAATATTGAAAGAATCAGTATGTGTTACAGTTCTTACAAGAGCAAGAATCAAGCATTACGCAGATCTATTGTAAACACATCTATAAATACTGCATTTTTGTGGTGGGTTGACCCTGACTGGACACCAGGTGCCCACTAAGCCACTCTGCCACTCCAACTCCTCAACTGGACGGGGAAAGAAAAATCTAACAAAAAGCTCATGGATCAAGATAAGGACAGGGAGAGATCACTCACCAATTACCATCACAGGCAAAATAGACTCGACTTGGGGAAATTAATTTAATTTATTACCAATCCAAATCAGAGTACAATAATGAGAAAATAAAAACCAAATCTTAAAACACCTTCCCCCCAAACCCTCCCCTTCTTCCCAGGCTCAACTTCACTCCTGAATTCTCTACCTCCTCTCCCCAAGCAGTACAGGGGGATGGGGAATGGGGTTTGCAGTCAGTTCATTGCACGTTGTTTCTGCTGCTCCTTCCTCCTCAGGGGGAAGATTCCTCATACTCTTCTCCTGGCTCCAGCATGGGGTCCCTCCCATGGGAGACAGTCCTCCACACACTTCT